ACAACGGCATCAACTGGAAGCACACCAACTGGCGCACAGGCCGAGCAGTTGTCACCCGTAGACGAAAGCTTGTGGTCCAGTTCATCATCACTCTGGCTAACTATGAATACATCTTCAACGTGAGTCTATTTTGTGAAGGAACTGGTACGAGAACCTAACAGCTAACACGACATCCAGTACATCTTTGATCAGGCAGGTGCCATTACTGTTCAAGCTCGCGCGACAGGTATCGTCTCGTCTGTTCTCATCGAGGAGGGCAAGACTGCGCCTTGGGGTAACGTTGTAAGCCCAGGCATTCTCGCCCAAAATCACCAGCATATCTTCTGTGTTCGAATTGACCCAAGTATCGACGGTCACAAGAACACACTTGTTCAAACAGAATCTTTACCAATGCAAATGAACGCACGCACCAACCCCAACGGCAATGCCTACCAGGTTGTCACAACACCAATCACGTCGTCCGCCGGACTAGACGCGAACCCCTTCACCGATCGAACCTTCAAGGTGCAAAATCTAGACAAGCCTAACCCTATCAGTGGTCAGCCTGTTGGTTACAAGATCCTGGCACCAGTGACCCGACCTCTTCTCGCAGACCCCAACTCTACACAAGCGAAGAGAGCTAGGTTCGCTCAACGTCACATCTGGGTGACGAAACATAAGGACAACGAGTTCTATGCTGGTGGACGCTACACGTTGCAGTCGGTCGAAGAGAGAGAGGGTGTTGCCGAGGCCGCTGCCAGAAATGACGACGTGTATCAACAAGACATCGTCCTATGGAGTGTTTTCGGTCTTACCCATAACCCCAGAGTCGAGGACTGGCCCGTTATGTAAGTGGAATACCCCCGACATGTATGGTGATTTAAGTTACTAACAAAACCTAGGCCGGTTGAGATTCTCGACCTCCACATCAAGCCTGCGGACTTCTTCACAGCTAACCCAGCTATTGATGTGCCAGGAAGGAAGAACTTCACCTCTCAGCTCACAGATGGCGAGAAGGTTGGTGGAGAAACCTCGTGCTGCGCTGACAGCAAGCCTCATTTGTAATCAGCTATTCGGTGTATAAAAGCGGAAGATGAGCATTTGTATTTATTCAGAGAAGCGAGTTAATGTTTGCATTTGATTTCCTAGAAATGATACAGTGATAACTCGTGTTTCAGCGCTAAACCATATTTTCGCAAACATGTTCTGAACCAACTCTAGCATCCAAATAACGAACGGAGACATCACTTCACTCTTTGTCTCTACGGATTACAATTGAAGGCCATTACACAAATATGATTGTTCCAGAATAAGCAAGAGACTGTAACACATCCCTTCACGTCGTCTCATTCAATTCTACACGTCCTGTTGACTGTTAATTGTTGTCTCTCTTCCGATGTACCGGGTAGCTGTCAGAAGCCCCAAGCCACGTTATCTCGCTAACTTTCATCCGCCGACGGCCGACGGTAAAGATTAACCAGTCTGGGACTAGACCAGGCCACTAATCTTTAACAGGCAGGTCAGAGCGATAGGAATGACGACCCCACAGAGTCCCTTATCAGACAGTGCAGCTTATCTTGAAATCAAAATTGGCTGTCCCACATTTTACGATAACGATTCCACCCTGTCTTGGTCGCGTTCTCGCGTAGGTGAAACTCGACCGTGATTAGCAACAACTCACGCCGAGTCCAACATAAAGAAAACGATTCAAACCATTACTATCAATTCTGACTAATTGAAGGAACATCGCATCATATTTATGATCATCGAGCGGTGAGTTGCTTGTAACCGCCACACTTGGTCCTATTGACATGGATACAGGCAGCATATACCCTCAGTAGCTGTTATACATTACTCAGTGGATTGTGGATAGTAAAGGATTAACATGAATGGAATAAAAGTGTACCCGCCCCTAAGCGAGGGACTGCTGAAACTAGTATTATGCTGTCGCTTTGTCCACCTTGGAATTGTTATCGCCCTCCCCAAATTTCCCCACATCCGCTTCTTCAACCCCAGTGACCAAAAAAGCATCTTCATCAAATGAGGGTCCCTTGAAATTATGCCTGCCATCGACAAACCATTGAATTGCGGAAATGATAATCAGCACAGCAAATGCAACAATGGCATAGTTCATGTTTGAGGCTGTGACATCGCTAGAGGGAGGGAAGAGAAGAAAGATTGTGATTACGATCGTGTAAGCAATGCCAACCTGCGGTTGTAAGTCAGTCTATTCGTAGTGTCTCATAAGTCAGAATTAATACTCACAAGGTTACAGACCCAGCCGAGCCAGGCTGGTAGCGCGAAAGGCCTGTTATCCAACAATCCGTTTCGGCCTTGCAGACAGTTGATGGCCGGGGCGACAGCGTAAGAAATAGATAGGGCAATAACGGCCGCTGATAAGATCGCATTCAGAGCACTTGTTGACCCGAGGTAGATAAGACCAAAAATGACGACGATTGCATTCGTAAGTAAGAGTGCATTGACTGGGATGCCCCAACGCTGGTCGACCTTCGCCAACACTCTTGAGAAAGGCAAGCCTCCATCGCGAGCAAAGGCGTACACAATACGAGTGCTAGTAGCCATGATACCAAGTGTACCAAAAACGAGGCAAATCATGGGGAAAAGTAGCAGGCAGACGGTGCCGACCTTACTATTGGTAGCCTGTAGGTAAATCGCAACCAGAGGACCTGAAGGCGATGCGACGACTGCATCTACGTCCTTGATGACGAAGAGCAGACACACAAGAAAGATGAATCCTGTAACGAGACCCATGGCGACACAGGCAATCATGATACGAGGACCACGAATGCAGGGTTGAGGAATCTCTTCGATCATGTGTGCGACAGCATCGAAGCCAGTGAGACCAAGCCCGCCTTGCAAAAGACCTAGAAGAAATGCGACACCCCCGGGCCAACCAGTTGAGTTGATGAACTCGGCGAAGACAAAGCTGGCTGGTTGAAAGTCGGGGGCGCTGGTTGCCAACACTGTGATGAAGGTTGCGAGGAGGCCGCATACGGACCAGATAAGAGCAAGCTTTGTCATGAAAGGAAGTCCGGAAGCCAAGAATAAGTTCAAGCAGAGGCCGAGGAACGTGTAAAGCAGAAAGATAAGGAAGTACTGCCACTGCGACGGCACAAAATCTGGGTTATACATAGTGATAATGCCCAAGAACAACTGCCCTCCAAGGACACCTCCTGAAGCACTGAGAGCAACCCATCCACTGACGTTGACCCAACCAGTGACCCAAGAAACAATAGCGACCCACTTCGGAGGGGATATAATGGCTGCCCAGTGATACTGGCCAGCGCTCGTAGGGTAGCAGGAAAGGAACTCGGCATTGGAGGCTGCGAGGGACAAACTGCCGACGCCAGCCGTTACCAAACCCCATATAACAGCAGTAGGTCCTCCACTGGGGAGACCGACTGATAGACTCGATGCGAGTGCTGTCCAAGAGTTGAGGATAGAGAAGGCGAGACCGAGCATAGATATAAAGGAGAAGTTACGTTCGAGTTCTTGTTTGTGGCCTAGTGCAGCTAACTGCGCGGCGTCGGCGTCGGCGTCGCGGGCGTCGTCATTGGGCTTCATTTTGCCGACAGAGCGGCTACTGTAGAGTCAGAGTATTAACAACGAGAAAATCAAAAACACTGGTGCAAGAGATAATTGATAAACGGTTAATTGATGACGGATCCGAAATGTGTAGGCGATGACTGATGCATATATACAATACATGGCGACGGAGGACGTTGTGTAATGGCTAGCGCCGTATCGCCCGACGGCTGACGATAACGGCGATAACGCTAATGAGGGGTCCTTACTTTTACCCCGTAAACCACGGCCGTAGTTATCGTGTGATTGGTATATTCGCCCGTCGCCGTCCTTCTTGTGGTTGAGAATGCGGGGATTTGCGGGGGACCTTATCTTTTCCCCATTTGATCGTGGAGATTGAAGTCAGATTGGTAATTGCTATAATAACAGTCCCCATAACACGCAAGTTTAGAATATTTACTCTTTCATGATCGAAGCGAGTCTGGGAAACGACGCTTGGAGTAGCTGTGAGGACGGAGACCCAGAGGTCCCCTTCTTCATGACCCTACCGGGTTGTCTTGATGACTACAGATAGCAGCAGCATATGTGCACATACGTAGCATAGTACATGAAAAAGAAAAACAAGAAGGGCAAAAAAA